CCTCGGTCTCCCAAAGTGCTTTGATTACAGGCTTGAGCTACCATGCCTGGCAAGCCATCGATTTTTAACCTCTACTAAGTGATAAAAAATGCTTGTAGGAAAACCAGTAACTTGTCGGGTGATGTGTGGACATCAGGAGGCTCGGGTTCTAATGCCAGTCCTGCTGTTCTTTGCTTTATGACCCTGAACAGATTCATCTCTGCACCTCCTCTCTCTATAAAATATGGAGGTGGGACTAGGTGACCTGGAAAGGCCCTTCTCATTCTGATGTTCTGTGGTTTCAGGTGGAAGGCAGAGGGCCTCGGAGACCAGTTGTGAGTTAGGGAGGACTTAGAATCTGACGGGAAGAGGGCAGAGACAAGAGGCTCAAGAGAGTCAGGGCACCTGGGACCTGGGACCCCAGGATCTGAGGGTGTTGAGGAACAGGAGCAGGAATCCATAGTGGAAGTGGGGTCTGTGTATGGCGTCCTGGAGGGAGGAGCTGGTGACGGGCTTGCACTTTGCTGGGGGGAGGTGGAGGGGCTTACCACCAGGATATCGCCGCAGGATGAGCTTTCGGACCTCATCATAGATGAAGATGAGGAGGCTGTAGGGGAAGGCACAGAACCACCAGGTGACCCTGAAAGCAATGGAGGAGTGCGTCAGGATCGCCAGAGGTCGGCTCGGCAGCCATCACATAAAGGAGCATTCAAACTGATGAGAACTTGGATCCCGGAGGGGGCTCAAGTCCCCGTACGACTACTCAGGCCACCCGAAAGGGACACTCACTTGAGTGGGTACATGCGGAGGGCCACACCCATACCCGGGCAGTAAGAGAGAAAGGCAGCCAATGCTGTCTCCTCCAGGAGCCCAAAAATCAGTATCTTGTTCCTGAAAGGCAAAGAAAGGAGGGTAGCAGGTGGAGGGGAATCAAGGAGGAAGGGATCCTGGGATACTCGTGGGGTGGAAGGGAAAGAGGAGAGAGAATTATAAATGACAAGTCCCATGTCTTCTTCCAACATCCTCTTCTCATGCCTTATGTAACCAAAGGAAGATGTTATTTTCTTTTTCTGCTTACTGAGTTTACCTTTGAATGTTGTCTATTGCACATACATTCATTCATTAAATAATTGTTTTTAGGTGTTGGGTGACGTGTTCTGTATTGGAGACACAGTGGTCAATATGGGGCCCGTCTCATGCAACTCATGATCTTGTTATCATTCCAGGCACAGGGCCTGGGAAAGTGTTGTCTCCCCAGCAAGATGCTGGAAAGCTCCTTCAGTGCAGGCCCCATGTATGTCTTCCACCATCTCAGCATCCCCCACAGTTCCTGGTGGTGGTTTCATCATAGATATTTAATTCAGGGAATGTAAAGGGGATGCTCAATACATAAATGGTTAATATCTGTTCACTATGTCAGAACTGAAAAGCAGGATAGAATGAGGAGGTTGTGAGGGCAGTCTCTGCAGTCAGACAGGTGGAGTCTCTTCCCAGTTCTGCCACTGACTAGCTTTGGATTGCAGGGAATGTTGGATTTCTCTGAGCCTCATGATCCTTCTTTATAAAATGGAGATTTTACCTTTTTATCAAAGGGTCACTGGGAAAATTATGGGAGATAATATGTGAAAATCTCTGAAACATGGAAAATGTTCAGTCATATTATTACTCCACTTTTTTTTTGAGACAGAGTCTCACTCTGTCACCCAGGCCGGACAATTACAGGTCACTCTAACCTCCACCTCCTGGGCTCAAGTGATTCCCTTGCCTCACCCTCTCCAGTAGCTGGGATTACAGGTGTGTGCCACCATGCCCTGCTAATATTTGTGTTTTTTTTGTAGAGATGGAGTTTCACCATGTGCTCAGGCTGGTACCAAACTCTTGGGCTCAGGTGGTTCTCCTGCCTCGCCCTCCCAAAGTGCTGGGATTACGGGCGTGAGCCACTGTGCCTGGCCTACTCCATCCTTTGTATTCTTATACAAGGTGCCTCTTTATAAACGCTTGGTTTAAGCCAGTGATTTCCAAATTTTCACTCACTGAGGATCCCCTTATTTGCTTCTGTAAAGGCCACATTTAATGGTTTTTTATTTTTGTCTCTCAAGCTGCATTTGGGAAGAGGTAATGAATACATTTCCCCATTTAAAATTACTTAGAAATATCCATGGCTTCCAAACTGAACTGTGGATCAGCATTCGATCACTACTTCATGATATGTGTTCTTGGCTTTTGCCTGAGAATGAGTCAGAGCAAGCCTGGTTGTGCTCTCATAGGGGGGTGCTTTGCTTCCATAAAGCTTTTCAAAATAAGGCAAATAGCATCTCTGAGGATCCTCAATGGCCCAGGGACCTAAGGTGAGGCCTGCGGCAGTGTTAGTGCTCTTCCTCTGTATCCAGCCCGACTTTCATTTCCATCTTTCCTATTTGCCGCTAAGATGGGCTGGATGTTGCCAGTCTGGCCACGTTCCCACCTTCCTGTGTCACACATGCAGTGCACAGTAAGTCCGAAGCCCCAGAACTATACCCAATTTCTTAGACTCTCTGCTCCTTGTTCTCTTCAAATGGCATTTTTTTCCATTAGTATTTTTAGCTTACTGGCATGTCCTTCCTTCATATTACCTTTATTTATCTAACAGACTCTTCTCTTTTTTCTCCCATGGACCTTAAGTGCTATTAACTTCACTTTGGCATCTTCTCCCCACCCTCCCTGGCCCCAAACTAAGAAACGATGACAAGCTCATTTGAGGAATCGTGGCCATTATTTACAGTAGGAGAAAATAAAAGGAACCAGCAGGATACCTTCGGCACTCAGCCACCCCCCAGGCTGGAATCACGGTCATTACTGAGTTCCAAACGTTGCCAGACGGTTTGGAAGCTGGGCTTCAGAGACAGATGTGGTGGACCCTTACCATCTTCGTGACCTTGGGCACATCATTTAGCCTGTTTGGGGCCTCTTATCCATGAGACGTAAACAATAATACCCACCTCATGGGGCTATCGTGAGGTTAAGGAATGTGTTAGGTACTTAGCACACTGCAGGAAGGCACCGAGCCTGACCCTCAGCAGCACGCAGCCTCCAGCACCACAGTTCAGGGGCTATAAACTAGAGGAGGCCAGGGGAGGGCTGGGCACAGAAGACACTGGATTTAGGGATGGGCAAAGGATGTGGGCAGTGGCTCTCAAGTAGGAGATGGGGGAAGGAAGGGAGGGAAGTTGGAGGGAGATGATAGCAAAACGCATTTTAGGAGCAAAATTAGAACTCATTGGAAAGAGTCACAGCGTTCGTTCCTCTCCTCTCTTCTATATGAAACCTATTTATGGATATACAGATGGAAGGTTAAAATCTGATGCCCCCCTTACAGTTCTGGTCCAGGGCTGAGTTGGAAGCCTGGCCTGTGTGGATCGGTGAGCGTGCCCAGAGCCTGGGGGGTGGGTGGGTGCCGTCGGGGCGGGCACTCACTTCATGCCCTGCTGGAAGACTGAGTTGTGACGGGTCTTGCAGATGATAAGGTCAGCCCACTGCACCACCACGATGCTGGCAAAGAATGCCGTGTGGCAAGTGAACTCTACCACCTTCCGCTGCTCATAGGTCTGGAGGGAGAGAGCAGAGGGAGATGAGAGTGTCGGAGGAACAGGCAGGACCAGAACATAGCATGCTTTCTCCTGATGCATCCCTAGCCCCAGTCTCAGCTGGCCACCACTGGTCACCCTTGCCAGGCATTCAGCTCCCCGCAGCTTCACACACGTGCACTGCATTTTCACAGCACCACCCACCCACTCCTGTCCATAGCTGTCCTCCAGGTCGTTCATGGTCCGGTCATCCCAGTCGAGGCGGATTCCCAGCAGCCGTGATGGCAGAAAACCATTCTCTGCCAGGATCACAAAGTAGGTGAAGAAGCCACCCAGTGCCTGAATCATCCC